GGGATGCACAGCCCCGGTGCTCCTTCCCTGGGGAAAGGCTGCAGCAGGGAGATGCCAGCGGGCAAGGGACAGGGGCAAAAGGTACCACTGGCTCTTTCTGGGGGGGCTCAAAGTACCACTGGCTCTTCCTGGGGGGGCTCAAGGCACCCGTGGCTCTTCCTCAGGGGGCTCAAGGCATCACTGGCTCTTTCTAGAGGGGCTCAAGGCACCCATGGCTCTTCCTTAAGGGGCTCAAGGCACCCATGGCTCTTCCTGACCAAGCAAGCCCAGGAGGCAGCGGGCTTCTCCCCACCCTCTGGTCCCCGGATGCTTCCTCCTCTGGCAGCAAGAGGGGGATTTATGTACTGCTCCAGGCACTCCCACTCTTCCTAGCCTACACGTCAAATGAAGCAGCACTTAATTAACAGGCGTGTTGGTAGTTTGCAAAGCTGTCAGTATAAAACCACCCCTTTCCCCCCGGGACACCCCCGGCCATGCTCAGAGCTCTGCAGCAGAGAGGAGCCCTCGAGGGCAGCAGCTCGGGGCACAGACACTCACCCACCAGCTCCCCCCAGCCGTGGGACAGCTGGGGGTCCTGTCCATCCCGGGGGGGCACAAGGGAACGCCCCAATCCGCACAGGTGCCTATGGTTTTTTTGCAATAACCGATGGCTTTGCCTGGACCCTGGCTCACTGCCGGCGCAGGCAGAGTTTGCGTTCCTCTCCCCACATCGTTCCCGAGCAGCTCCGGGCTGTTGCACATGGAGGGGCTCGACAGCCAGGCAGCCCCCAGACACAGGGACACCCCCCTGGACCCCCCTCGTGTGGCTCCTCTCACCATGGGGCAGCTCGGCAGCCCAGGCTCTGGCAGAGCGCTGCCGCTTTTCCCAAAGACTCATATTTCTTTTTTTCCTCCTCAATTAAAAGCCGGAGTGACAGCATCCGAGTGGAAAGGCGGGAGGCGGGGAACAATGCCTGCTCAACAGGCTGGGAGGGGAAGGCCAGCAGCGTGATGCCCCAGAGGACACGGCGATGCCCCGGGGAGCCGGGGACTGAGTGGCTGCAGCAATTGGGGTCTGGGGGAACTGAGGGCTCGGAGGTCTGGGTGGGGGCTGCTGGGTCCCCCCCCAAGCTCCCGTAACGATCCTGGGCTGCTGCCATCAACAGCAAAAGTGCAGAAGGCTTCACCGCTTGGCAGGGGATCTCAAAGCTGCTCAGAGGGCTCCAGCGAGGAGTCAGCTCCTCCAAACCTGATCCCCTACGGCTCCCTGGGGCAAGGGGTGGGGAAACACCGAGAGCTGCAAAAACAAGGCGGGGGCTGGACAGCAGGGAAATGGGGAGATGGGGACAAAGCTGAGGGCCAGCCATCCACCCAGGGAGCGGCAGGGACAAGCCAAGGACCCTCGCCGTGCCGCCTCTGGGGATGCTGTGGCTGGTGAGGGCATGTCCCAAGCTCCAGCTGTGCCAAATAGCCCCAAACATTTGCTGCTGGGGGCAGGGGACACAGATTACAGCCCCCGGGTTCACGTGCAATGTTCCTGCCAACGCTGAGCAAGATCTGGGGAGAGGAGGAGGCGGCAGCAGCACAGCCCCATGCTCGCAGAGGCCCTCAGAGCTGCCCAGGCTGAGCACGCTTCCAGCCCTGGACTTTTGGCTCCTGTTGGGCCCGGAGCAAGACCCCCTGGATGAGCCGGGCACAACAAAGCCCCAGGAACCAGGGCCCCCGCTGGCCCCGCAGATGGGGCCGGGGGGAGGTTAAGCCTGCGGCCAGCTGGGCGGACGGCGGCACTGGGAAATGGGGCAGCCCTCTGCCCTCCGCCCCAACGGGGGCTCGGCCGCACTGGGAGGGGGCTGCAGCCCCGAGCTCCTCTGCCAAACCCCCCCTGCTCCGGAGGGTTGCATCCCCCTGGAAAGTATCTGCTGGACCAGAGTGGCCATCGGGGCTCAGCATGCCCCAAAATGAGCTGCCCAAGGCAGGACACCCTCCCCAGGGACACAGCAGTGCCTGGATCCCCACGAAAACCTGCTTGGCTGCTTTGCACCCCCAGCACCCCCCAGGCAGGGATGAGGCAGACTCCGAGCGGTGGAAATGCCTGAACAGCAGCGAGGACAATAGCAGACAAGGAGAGAGGAAAAAAATCCTCTCGGCAATTTTCTGCAGGTTTCTATTTAACCTGAAGACAAAGACCGGCTTTGTGAGGGAAGGCGATGGAGGTTGCTCATGGAAATTTCTTGGCTTTTCCCCTTAACTAGGGGTTTTTTACCACCTCCAAATTTAGGTAACTATAAAATGCAGTAAGTGCCCATTAATATTTTATTTGCTGCAGATTTTTCAGTAACCGGAGCGAGCCCTTGACAAAGGCAGAGTTCCCAAGCCCCCTCCCCATGCCACGAGGAGAGGCGGGCCAGTGATTGAAAATCCTCCTCTGCAGCGAGGCAGGGGCCGCTGGCCGGGCGCGGGGGATTACTCGCTCCCTGAGAAGGGAGCTTAGCTGCCTCAGAACCAGGAGTAAACTGAAACCCCATAAACATCCAGAACAAAGTCCAGGAAAGCTGCTGCCTCCGCCACGGAGGGGACCCGAGCTCGGCCGCCGCTGCTCTCTGGCCGGCGCGGGCGATGCTCGTGAGCGGCAATGTGGGGGAAGGACAGCAAGCCCAGCCCCGGGGACACGATGCCCCATGGCACAGGAGCTGAGCCCCCATCCGCACCCTGCGGGACCCCCAAACTCCCCCCAGGGTCGGATCCAGAGCCCACCCTGGCAGGCGACCTGCAAGGTGCCGGCGGCACGGCCCCGGCTGTGGGTCCTGGCCCAGGACCAGCTCTTCCCATCCCGCACGTCCTGCCGGGAACATTTTGTTCCCACCAGCCGGCCCCGAAGCCAAGGGACGGACTCTGCCCCAGCCGGGCTCCTGCTGTGGCACTAATTGGGCCGCCCTGGTGAGAACCGTGTCGGGAAACGTTTCCAGAGGTTATTGTTAGCCCTGGCATGAGGTTGGCGAGGAACCAGCTCCCTCCTCTCCAACCTCTCCTCCTCCACCGCCACCGCCTGATGCGGCTCCCCAAACCCTCCGGGGGGCTGCAGGGCTCCTTAAGCACCCCAAAACCCACCTTCGCTCAAATTAGCCCTTGGCTTGAACACCCCAACAGCTTTCCCAGCACCATAGCTGGGTCCGGATCCGCAGCACCGCTCTCCCGGTGGCACTAGAGCCATCCTTACCCCAAACACCACCAGGAAACCTCTTCCAGGAAGAGCAATCTCCTGAGAAAAACATGTTTACCACTGTCAACCGTATTATTTACAGAAGCGGGGAGTGAGCATGCCAGTGGAAAAATCTCGGAGATGGTCCCCGTGAGCGATGCTCTGCCCAGGCTCCTCTCTGGAGCCTGCAGCTCCCCAGGGACCGCGCGCAGCTCCGGCTATCTCATGGGATGTGTCTGTGACCAGAGTACCTGCTGCTCAAACCAGAGGCACTGACGCCAGCCTGCCAGCCACAGCATCAGGGCACGCTTCCAGGCGGGATCACCCAGTCGTCCCCCACCGAGGCCAGTGCGGGGACCCCAGCCGCAGCACGGTTTGCTTGCCGGTGCCAGCTCCCACCCCGTCCCAAGCCCTGAGCCATGAAGGGACCGTGGGCACGGGGAGCACGGCTGTTCACCGGGGCACCACGCAGCACCGTGCCCACACCAGCAGCACCAGCAATCAGCCTCTCGGGGTTTTGGTGGGAGGAAGAGGGAAGGGGGAATGAGCCTTAAAAAGAAAAGCAGTACCCCACAGACCAGACATTCTTGGGTAATTAAAACCAAAAGGCAGTAAGTCAGAAAGCCCTGCGCGGCGCTGCCTGGTCTGTTTATTCTCTGCCTCACCGAGGGAAAGGCCAAGGCTTTGAAATGTTAGAGCAGTGCTTTCTGTCGGGGCCAGCTGTCTCCAGGGCCAGGTGACCCACTCAGACCATCCACCACATCTCAGGGTGTCACTGGGCTCCGGAGCTTTGCAGGGCTGCGGCAGGAGCAAACCCCCAGCCTGCCCGTCGTGGGCCACAAGCCCTTGCAAGGCTTTTAGGGGAAAGCAGTGATGAAAAGCGAGGGGGATGCCCTCGTCTGGGGCCGTGCTCTCCAGCCCCAGCGATGCCTCGCAGCGGTGCACAGATCAGGGCTGTGGGAACCGCCTGAGACAGACCCGGCTTTGAAGCCAGCCCCGTGGGGCATTCCCCAGCCAGGAGCAACGCTGGAGCATCCCGGGGGTCTCGCAGGGTGTGTTCAGCCCACGCGCTGCCAGCTAGCAAAGCCTCCACCGGTACCCTGCACCCAAATTCTAGTTCCCACCTGCTGAGCCCAGGATCACCCCAGTGTCAAGAAGGGGTGGGAGAAGGCTTCACCCACATCTCGGGCTGCAGATCATCACAGGGAAGCAAGCGTCGTGACAGGCAACGACCCCGCGCTGGGGCGACAGCCCCCGGGGCTTTGTATCCTTCTCCAAACCAACAACGTCGGGTTTTGCCAGAATTCCCCTCCTGGTTTAAAACGTCCACGGGCAACGCTGGAACCGCTCGCGCCCTTTTTTGCGCCCGCGCAAATTGCTCTCAGCAGACAACATGAGCCGCATCCCCACCAGCGCCAACCGACGGCTCCGAGGCAGCCGGACGGCCACGTGGCACCGTGCCGCTGCCGGGGGACGAGCCCGTGCCCCCCGCCGCAGCCCTCATGCCTGGCCCTCACGCCAGCCTCTGCCTCTTCTGCAAGGGAGGCCGGCTATCTTATCGCCAGAAGCGAAACGCAAAGGACGAGGGAACCGGGCGTTCTCCGGCACGGCCGCGGTGGTTTGTTCATCTTACCTTGGTCGGGCAGGGTAGGGGCCGGCCTGGCAGCTGAGAGCGCGGCTGTGACCAGCACAGCCCAAAGGATGAGGCACCGCCAGGTAAACATCCCACTGCTGCGGCTACTGCTCGGCGACTGGGCTCCGCAACTCCCACTCCATGGGGACACCGGGCTGGCCCCGGGCGGGCGCGGGGGGGGTCTCCGCCGGGCCGTCAGCCCCTCCGAGCTGCGAAAGGAGGAAAACGGAGTCAGGACAGGGTGAGATGCATCCCCACATCCCACCATTTAGCCCCCTTCGTGCACAGCACAGCTCCGCGGGCGGGACGTGCTCGCCACGGCAGGCGATGCTCCTCGAGCAGCCCGGACAGCGAGATGTCCCTGGACCCGTGGCGGCAGGTCCCCGCGGACCCCTCCGCAGCCTGAAGCGACCCAGCGCTGACTGGCAGGGTTATGTTTTCCTGCATAAAAGCGCTGATGTGTCGAGAGTAAAACCGCTGGCGAAGCAGAATCGAATGCAGCAAAATTTCCCAGAACGGTGGGAGAAATTTTCAAATGCCGGTTAAAGGAAAGGATATTCCTGCTCTCCTGCTTTCCTCTTCCTGCACTTCGGGTTGTGCCGAAAAGAGGAACTCCCATACAGATCAATACGCCACAAAATTTTTGAAACAAAAACCCCCGGTGGCCCAAGCTGGGTCATCACGGTGTGGCAGTTCCCAGAAATTTCTTAGTTTTCTTTAACTTCCCTCAGATGAAAAATAATCTCAAAATCTTGACAAGTTCTGTGGGACAGGAGAGGTATTTCTGTTGGGCTCCAAAAGGCCACTTCTCCCCTGTGAGCACGCCTGCTGGCAAATGCCCTCCTGCCTCTCTCCCTTGTTTCCACAACATCTTCTGCCCCACACACCCCAAGCAGTGCCAGGACCCAGCCCAGCACCCCTGGGTGCTCCAGGACCAGCAGCACCCCACTCTGCTGCAGCTGACCCAAGACTTGGCTGCAGCAAATCCCACGTATCCAGACCAAAATCTGATGTTGTCCACGTCATCGTGCACCCCCGGCAAAGCAGATCCTGCTGCAAACCCCAGCCCCTCCATCTCCTATAGGATCTATAGGGCATGCACACAGCCAGCCCTATGGAAACGCCTTCCTGGAGCCGAAGGGGTTAGCCGGTGCCTCGGCCCCGCTCCCACGTGTGGCAGATCTCTTTCCACCGACAGCTGTTTTCGGAGCGGCCGTTTGGGGAGAAATCCCCTGGCTTCCACAGCCAATACTGCAATTCACTCCAATACGGCAATTTGCTCTCGTCCCTGCCAGCTCTCACACCGGGCTCTCCAGCCCACCCGTCCCCTCGGGTCCCCATCCCCTTCCCCTGCCAGGGGACCGCTCCGTGCGGGGAGGCACCAGAGCCAGGTTCTGGCACAGGGAGACCCAGCAGAGCCCGATGCCGGCTCAGGGTACCCCAGGGATGTACCCTCCATGGCCCTCATCCCTCCTTCCCTCTGACCGTCCCTCCTTCCCGCCACGCTGGGAGCACGGAGCTCTGCCAAAACATGTTCAAGGGGGACGCTGGAGCCAAAGCCCAAGCCCAGCCGCCCCTGGCCAACTGCTCCCAGCAGCGTGGATGCGAGCAAACCCCTGCGCTCCACCCCCGCGACACATCTGCAACTCCGCAGAAGCCTGGGACGGAGGTCCTGACACTGGCCGCCGTCAAATTGTCCCACTGAGCTTTGCCGAAGAGCTCGCCAGCGAGATCCCTGCCCAGTTAATTGCACAACCCGAGCACGGCCGTGCTGCTCCGGCCAGGGTGCTGCTGGCAGCAGATGCTCCGGGAGAAGTGCAAGGACCAGGGCGTGGACAGGATGATACCATCGCCGAAACCCTCCTCTAGGCTCTGGCAGCCAGAGGCAGGAGCACCTCCCCGGGGCGCAGCCGTTCCTCCGTGCCCGTAGCTCTTGCTGAATATCCCGAGCTCACCCCGTTCCTTTCCCGACCGACTGACGCTCCCCGAAGCCCCGTGCCGAGCTGTTCCCAACCTGCCATGTGAACAAGCGCTTCCTTTTGCCACAAGGCGCCCGTTTAAAGTATGTGCTGTTAAAAACAGTGAGTAATAATCGTAGTGAGTAATAAGCCGCTACTCATCTTCCCCACGCACTCGGTCCGTCGGAGCTCCGGACACCCTGGCCGCTGCCTCTCCTGTTCCAGCGAGGGAGCGAGACCTTTCGTTCCCCCTGCCTGAAGCACCGGCTTTTCCCTGCAGATGGGCTGAGCAGCCGCCAGAGCCAGCCCCACAGGGCTCCTGTTTAACACCGGGGAGCTCAGACCCCCTGAACAGCCTCTGCAGCCCAAGAAAACCCAGCCAGGGTGCAGGTCTGGGGGCTCTGGCTGCCTTCTCCCTGCCCCAACTGCTCCGGCTCTGGCCGGCGCGGGAGCATTTGGGACCCAAAGTATTGACACAAGTGGTCGGGCAGGGAAAAGCGGTACCCAGCAAACACTGGCGTTATCTCCAAGCGCCAGCGCTCCCAGGCGCCAGGCAGCGTGCTTTAAAATAGTTATTGAATGTTAACAATTTATCAGGGTTTGGAAGGGGGAGGTGGAATTCTTCGTGGAAAAAAAAAAAAAAAAAAGTCTTCTGGTATTTCTGGAAATTATTTTCTGTCTCTAAGTGGTTTTGTTTATCGACAGCACATGCTCCCCGGAACATGCCCTAATGCGGAGCGTCTGCGTGGGCCTCCCGAGCCGGCCCCGTGCCGAGGGGAGGGAGGGATGGAGGGATGGAGGGAGGGGAGCACAGCGCCTCCAGAAATGGCAGTTCCTGAAAAATGAGTCAGTGCTGGCTCGGCGCACAGCAAAGCCCTTCTCCAGATACACCTCAGAGCGAGCGCCTTCCAGCTGATTCAGGGGCTCGACAGCAGCATATTTCCATGGCATACGGATCGCTCGGCAGCGAAGAACTGCCCTGCGCCTGGGAGAGTCACTGGGAGGGAGAGGGAGGGAGGGAAGGACGCGTGCCAAGATCCAGAGGGAGTGCACGATGCCCGGCGCCCCAGGGCAGAAAGGGAGGTCGCAGCAGCTACGGCTTTGCTAAAAGGCAGACAGGTGCAGGGCAGGGATGCATCCTGCACATGGGGGTCAAACCAAGCATCCTGCCTGCTCAACAGCACCCTAGGAAATCCTGGTGTGCGGAGAAGAGTGGATGCTGGAGGGAAGAGCCAGCAAAGACCCTTCCCTCCTTCCCAGGGAAAAAGGGAGCCCCGGAGCCTGCCCCTGCCCCTGCCCCCCCAGGGATCCTCTGCACCCACTCGGCAAGGAGGTGCGAAAGCGGGGGGGGAGTGCTCCTACCTGTGCAAACAACAGCATGGGTCTTCTCCGCGTTTATACAGCTTTTATATAAATCCCAACAGGAAACCGTATGCTCGGGAGGACGGCAGCTCGACCAGGGTGGGTCGCCGGCTCCTGCCGGGCACCGACCCCACGGCCCCGGCACACTGCAATTTACTGCTCAGGGGTGGATTCAAACCACTAAAAATGGAAGCAGTAAGACAGGAGCCAGGGCTAACTGCCCCTCAGAGACCTGCCTGCGAGGCTGCAATTACAACTGGCCATTACACCCACGGAGCTATTTCAGAGCAGTGACGGACACCCCTGTGCCCACCTGAGCACCCTCCTGGGGCGCACGGTCCCCGCACGCCCGCGCGTCGGGGAAGATGCTCTCGTGCCGCCTTCGTACAGCTGTGCGTTCAGGAGAAGCAGCCTCTTGCAACCTGTCTCCCCTGTTGTCCTCGGGGACCCCGAGGGCTGCACTTTTTGCCTCTCGCCTCTCCCACGCCCGTGAGTCACCAGGCTGAGCTGTCCCGGGGACACGGCACAAGATGGGACCTTCCACGCTCAGGCGTCAGCCTGTGCTGAACATTTGTGAGCTGAGTGTAGCGGGGAAGCCCCTTCCAGTCCCACAGCTCATCCCTAGGAATGCATTCAAGGTGCCAAAAGCAGGAGCCGGTGCTGGAGCAGGGTGCCCGGCTGGGGCACCGGGAGGGGGTCAGAGCCCAGGCTCAGCCTGGGGTTTCCCGCGATGCTGTGCCGTCCCGCAGGGGAGCCCTGGGTCTGATCTCCCCGGTCGGCTCGGTGGGACTGGGTGGCTCTGGAGCGGGGCAGCTTGGCCTCCGCTCACGCAGCCGCCTCCATCCCGTCGGAGCAGAGCTGGCCCGTGCAGCATCCACCACGTCAGAGCGTCCCGGGGGCAGGCGAGCGCCGGGGTGCCTCGGCGCCAGCAACCGGCGTGTAAAGCAGAAGGCAGAAAAACAACAGGGCATGGCCAAATACAACAGGGAGAAGAGGCTGAGCTCGGCTCCCAGGTCTGCAAGGCTTCAGGAGAACCGTGGTGGGGGGCTGCACCCAGCTCAGGGCCACGCGTCCCTCGGGGTGGAGAGGTGGTGACTTCCAGCGGGAGACCTTGCCTGGCACAGATGCCCTCCAGCTCCAACACACGGAAAGGAGACTCAGTTTTTCTCTGAGGCTCAACATAAGCAGCCCTCCAGGTGCCCGTGGGGAAGAAGGGCACGCCAAAGGCAAAATTCGCGGGCGACACGGAGAAAAAGCCTTTCCCTCGCCCAGCGCTCCTTGCCCCAGCCTGCAGCTCAGGTCAGGAACTAAGTATTTGTTGAAATAAAAAGCAAACACAACTGCAAATGTAACTATAGGGAAAAACTATAATGCTTAAAGCAGACGCATGCTTGGAAAAATAAATATCCAACTGTGCAGCACACATACTGCGTTAACCCTTCCCAGCCATGCGTGCTGCAGCCTGCCGAGAGGCCTTACAGCTACCAGGGTATCTCTAACCACTGAGTTCACTGCACGCTGCGGGCATCCAGTGGTGAGGGAGCTTGGCACGTGGGGCAGGAGGGATGGAGAAAGGCCCAGCCTCATCCACAGATGTCTGTAAAACCAGTTCAGTTTCAGAAGCATCCTCAAATTCAGGGATCCCTACCCGAGGGCTTGATTTTCAGACCTGCTGAGCATCCATTGATACCCGCAAATCTCCACCCAGCTGGTACCACTGACTGTTCTGGGAGGGGACTGGTCGAGGACAGGGACGCTGGGACACAACCAC